CAATGTATAATAAAGTAAGAAACAAAAATTTATATTAATCATGAATAATTTCCCCTCTTCTACATTTTGGAATATAGGTCTCCATATTTCTAAAATAATTTTTTGCATTCTCCTCAGATATTCCTCTCTCTCCATGCTCTGAATTAATTTTTCCTCGTTACTGGGATTTTGATTTCTGACAAAATCCTTCCATTGAAAAAACACATTTTCAATGCGATTAAGATAAGGACTGTAAGGTGGTAAGTATTTCAATATGCGCCCTCTTCTTTCTATCGATTTCCTAATTGTATGATTATGATGAAATGGAACATTATCCATCACAAAAATCATATTCATCATGTTACCTTCTTCAAAATGATTTAATATTTCATTTACAAAGTTGCTAAAGTATATAGCGTTGCAGGGGCCATCAAGAACTTCGAATCTGAATATTCTTGCAATTGAGAGAGCAGCAATGATAGTATAATTCATTGTTTTTATCCCTTGAACATTTTTAATAGCCTTTTTATTTATTTGTGAATATCCATATAACCGCCTCATTGATATTGAAAACCCGCTCTCATCGATAAATATATATATTTTATTCCATTTTTGAGATGGGAGAAATATTTGTCACTGTCTTATAGCTTACTTTAATACATGATGCTATATTTTTAATACTATTCTTTTTTACGTCGCTGTTTTTTCCCCTTGTTTTTACCATATCTTCATAATTTTATTTTATAAAACAAAAATAAATTTATTTTTAAAATATATATTTAACAAATAGAAGGAATGACAAAAAAGTCTAAAATCCTTATATTATAACACATACCTCATTTTACGTTTATTCATAAATCAAAGAATATAGTTTTAAAAATAATTACAAAAAAAAATTATTTACTTGCTCAAAAATATTGAATACTTCTTGCATAAATATTAAATTTTAAAAATAAGAATTTGATTATATTTTATTTACATATCGTTTGGTATTACAGTTCAAACTTATTTAATTTTAAAAAGGTACATTATAACCAAACGATTAATTTAATTTTACAATTGTAATTAAATAATTTGATATGCAAAAAATTCTAATTAAAAAAATTGTCTGCTAAAAATTTAGTGAAAATTAAATATAATTCCTAAAAAAGGATTATCAAAAATGAGAAAAAAAAATTGAGAAAAGATCAAAAAAATAAATATCAAAAATGACTTCAAGAGATTGAAAAGGTTAGAAATGTATGTAAAACATTACAATATAAGTAGAAAAAATCATGAAAAGTCATAAAAGTAAAGAATTGTTAAATATGGAGCAGATAGGTGAAGAAAAATAACGGAAAATTTAAAATTATTTTTAAAAGACAAAAGAATTATCAAAAATGAGAAGAAAAATAAATTGAGAAAAGATATAGTAAATTTTTAAAAAATAACGATTTTCCTTTTTTGAATAGGAATTTTCCTTTTTTGATTGGACCTTTTCCTTCTTTGTTTAACACTTTTCCTTTTTTGATTGAACCTTTTCCTTTTTTGTTTGACACGTTTCCTTTTTTGATGATTTTTTCCTAAATCTTTGGGACTTTTCCTTTTTTGATTGACACTTTTCTGATCCGATCTTTTCCTTTTTTGATTGACCTTTTCCTTTTATGATTGAAACTTTTCCTTTTTTGATTAGGACTTTTCCTTTTTTCAATGGGAAACACTGTAATTGAAGTATTTTCGATATAATATTTTAAATTAGAATGTTATATTAGAAAACTGTTAGTAAAATATTTTTTAAGTTTAAAAAAATTGATTGTGGTACTATAAAGACTTGCAAAATATATTCGTAAAAGTATTTTTTGTGCAAAAAATATTCATCCATCAAGGTATTTGTATTAAACTTAACGTATGTGTATTTATATTTAAAATAGATTTTTTTTAAACATATTTGTATTTAAATTCAATGTCTTTTTTGAAGTATATTTATATTTGAATAAATTTTTTTTGAAAGTCTCGATATTTCATTATTAAAAATCTAAACCTTTCTAACATCTATGAGCAAAATCTTTAGGCTAGCCTAGGCCTATTCAAAAACGTATTCGAATCGAATAGTGCATTATTCGTAGAATAATTTACTATTTGAATTCGTACGAATAATAAAATCTATTTGTATTCTATTCGAATAATTGAAATGAATTTTCTTAATAAAATAAATCAATCTCAAATATATTGACAAATTTTTTTATTGCAAATTTGATTTCAAACAGAAAAAATTATAATAATCCGATGACAAATAAATATAATCAAGTTATAAACAAAATTAAAATATTATATTATTCATTTAATTTATAATTTTAAGCCAATTTTTAAGGCAAAGGGTTCTTATATTTTCTTCTTTATACGACATGCGGTTTTTTGACAACAAATTAGTGCCAACTGAGAAAAGTCTTTCACACGCAGTTGATGTTCCTTGTATAGATAAATAATCTCTTGCCATTTTTGAGAGTATAGGGATCCTATGTGCATTTGTCTTCCACCACATTAATGGATCAGTATCACTCTTTGATCTTGGTTCACTCAGGTAAAAATCGATTTCACATAGTTGAACATAATTTTGTTTAAAAACAATGTCAAGCCTGTTTTGTTGACTTTCATTCTTATTTTGGCAGTTGTAATTATCAGCAGCTTATAAAATAAAATGATATGTATTTAAATAGGGGTAAATTAAATACCTGTATATCTGCTGTAAATCTCTTTAAACTTGTCTGTTAACCTGGATATATCAATATCATAATCAAGAGATATTGATTTAAAATATTCTATTTTGAGCCTTGGATCCAATATTGTAGCTATTATTGCATCATCTGCAGTTAAATTATAATAGCCCAACAATTTATCACATGCCACTTTGAAATCATTGTTAGAGGTTTTATGGAAACAAGGTTTCTCATTTTTTAAGTGTTCAAGAATTAGAATATAATAGAGTATAACCAAATTATAAGTAGGATAATTTTCCCCACAAACCATATATGTAGTCTCATACAAAGGCAATAGGATAGATTTAATTTTTACAAGATCGTCCCATTCCTCCTGTATGTTATGTTAATAAAGTATTATTTACCTATTTATAAATTTTAGTTTACCTCTGATAATTGTTTTTCTTGAAGAATTATAATATTAGTTATAACTTCATTAACTAATTTTTTTTATAGCAGGCTTTAACAATAAGCCCCTTTCAATCATTTGGTAGGTGCTATTCCACCTTATTTCACAATCCAATTTGGGTTTTAAAAAATTTATAAGAGGATGTAGTGAACTACATATATTTTTTAATAAATTTAATTTTTTAGGAGAATTACGTATCATCCTAATAATGTTTCGTAGTTTTAAAATTGATGGATTTAAAATTTCTTTGGATATTAAATTAATAACATAAGCAAAGCATCGAATGTGCCCTATTTTTATTGATGGATATTTTAAAGAAAATGTATCAATAAATGTTTTATTATTAGTAGCATTATCTAGAGTTATATAAAAAATTTTATTCTCCAAATTATAATTTTTAATTATTTTAATAAAGGCTTTAAAATGTTTTCACCTGAATGTTGTTCATTTTTGGAGCAACATCCAAAATTTGTTATTTATTTTAAAATTATCTTCAATAAAATGGGCTGTTAACCCTAAAAAAGGAACCTGAGTTGGGCTAGTCCAAATATCAGATGAAAAATTAATCTGACTTTTATTTTTGGATATTATATCCTTTACCAACTGTTCTTTTTCTGCAAATGTATTATACATATGCAATTTAAGAATATTGGAGCTTATTGATTTTATAGAAGAATCAAGATCATTTATAAAATTTTTAAAATCAGGTGAATTAACAATTTTAAAAGATAAATTATTATTAATAAATAATTTTAGTAAGTTATCTTTATAATTAATTTTTTTAGATAAAGAAAAAGGTGATATAGGCTTTAAAAAAGTGTCAATTTTATTACTGTTTTTACAGAGATGTGAATGAAACCTATTATAATGATTAATAAGAGGCGATGTTGTTTTGCCTTTGCATTTAATAATGCTCTTGCAATGATTGCAAGCAGCCTTTTCACCATTGAGTTGATATTGATCCCATATAATCGCTCTTTTTTGTTAAGAAATTTTGTCAATAACTATTTCATCAAAATCATTCTCCACTAACATAATTAGGCTGGCTAACAATATTTTATTATAAAAATATAATATATTTTTATATACCTTTGGTTTGTATATATTTTAATATACTTTTGGTTTGTGTAATTTTTAATATAATTAATTTTGAAAAAATAAGGGATATTAAAATTAAAATTTTTGCTAGTCTTTTTATAAACACATCATCTGTCAGATTGGCAGGTTATCAAATAGAAATGACAAATGTTAGATAATTTAAAAAAAAAGCAATTTATTAAATATTACGAATAATTCGTTTTATTCGAATAATTCGTTTTATTCGAATCGAATAAATGATTATTCGTATTCGGATAAAACAAATAATTTATTATTCGTATTCGTATCTATTCGAATAGAATCGAATTTTTTTTGAATAGGCCTAGGCTAGCCTAAGATTTTTTAACTAAAATATTGCGTTAGCCATCTAATAACACTATTTACATTCCAGAGAAAATATTATAAAAATTTGTTCGTGATGAGATCTCATCATTCAGGCATGTTACGAATTCGTGATTTTTTTTTATTTAGGCGTGCTTAAAGTTAAACACATTTATAAAAATCACTGATTATTTTGTACTAATCTCAGAGAAATGCAATTTTAGAACCATCAATTTTTTTTAAATTTAAGCCAGAGTCGTCTCGATATTTTTATATATTTTTTTAGGCCCAAGCCATTCACCGATTGTGGCTGGGAAGGAATTAATACATAGTTAGCTTCGGGTCGGGCTCAGGCCTGAAAATAAATTTTTTCAAATTTAATACAGTATTGTTAATGATATTTTTGCAATCTAGTAAATTTATATGGTATCTTTGATTAAAATGTTTTCTCTCTTTAGAAGAAAACAGTTCATATTCGTGGTGCGAAAATTATGTGGGAAATTCGGATATTCAAAATCCTCTTGTCCATGATTTCAACCTTAAGCATTCTCCTCCTTGCTTGAAAAAGGTACTTTTTTAAAATTTAAAAAGTCATATGTTTTATTAATATTTACTTTATCCAATTTAGTTTTACCTGGTATCAAAATAAATCGGTCAGGCAAGGTTTTCTAAATCGGCCTTCATCGATTGAAAATTTGATCTATCTTCACACTTCTTGTTATCAATCTTATTTATGTTTCCTTATCTATTTTCCATCAAATGTCCCCATTTATCACATATTATATAAAATAATAAAGTTTACATTATAACTTGAAGATTTTAAAACTCATATTATCCGACACATTTATCACTTGATAAGGATAAGAAAAATTAGTTCCTTGAATATACGATGTTTCTGTAAACTATTTATTATATATGGGCTATGGTAATGTTAATTCATCTGTGAATTTTCAGAATCAAATGGTGATGATGAAATACAATCTATGCCTATGCTAATCTATAAAATATAAATTATATATTCAAATTAAAATGGTAGGCTAAAAAAATTCAAATTTGATATAAGAAACAGCTGATTAAAAAATAATCCTTTTTTCATAAAAAACTTCGTAATAATAATTTACCATTCCCAAAAACGAACGTATTTCTTTAACATTAGACGGTGTTATACAATTTTTTATAGCATTAATCTTATCTTAGGTAGGGTGAATTCCGAATTCATCAATAACATGACCAAAATAAGTAACTGACTTTTCTCCAATTTTAATTTTATCGGTCGACATTGTCAGTCCAGCCTTATCAAATCTTCTTAATACTTCTTTTAGATTAACTATATGATCAAAATTATTCTCGCCTGCAATAATTACATCGTCTAAAAATACACTAACCATAGGAATTTCCTTTAATAGGTTTTGCATAAAGCGTTGAAATATTATCGGAGCGCTAGTCAGCCCAAAGGGGATTCTTTGGTATCGGTAATAACCGATATGAGTCGAAATTACTAAAAGATTTCTACATTCTGGACTAACTCCGAATTTAAAAATGCATCTCTTAAATCTATCGTTGAAAATATTTTACCACCCGCGATCCTATTTGTCAGGTCGACGAAAGTTGATAGTAAATCGTTATCTATCGCTAAATATTTGCTGATTGTTAAACGAAAATCTCCGCATATTCGCACAGCACCAGATTTCTTTAAAATATTAACCGTTGGCGTAGCCCAAGTAATTGGAGTTATTGTTGGATCCACCTTTTCAATAAGGCCTTCGTCTAAAAGTCTGTCCAACTCAGCTTCAACGGTTCAACGCAACGGAAATGGAATTCTTCTAGATAGCGCAGTTGGCACTGTATTTGGTTGTATCTTGATGATGGCTTCCTTTAATTTTATTTGTCCTAATTTTTTTTAATAACTTGTGGAAATTTTGAAACAATAGTATTTAAACTGGAATCTTTCATATTTATTATTAATTCGAACTTTTTCAGGAAATTTTATATCAAATTATCTAAGAAGGGCCATTCCAAAAATAAGGGAATTCTCACCCTTAACTACCCAAATAGGTAAAAATTTTGGAATATTATTTACTTCGACTTCCACTAAACATTTACCCAATACTTCGATCTTGATATGATTATATTCTTTTAGTTTATATGCAGGTGATAATGATGGTTTGCCTATGCGACTTCAGGTAACCTCATCTATCACACTACACGCCGCGGCAATATCAAATTCCATAGTAAGCTGCAGCCCATTTATCATCGATTGTAACTTTATTAGCAAAAGACAGGCGAGGTGTCCGTGGTAAAATCATTTGTATAGCATGCGTTCTACACTCTTTCACTATGCGGTTTGCTTTTCCGCCCTAAAGCATATTACTTTTTTTTGACTGAAATTAGGTTTAAAACTTGGTTTATAAAAATTATGGTTGATTTTGTTAGCATTATAATAATTATTATTATTGCATTTGTTTACGTTATTATAATTATTCCTAAAATAAGTATTTTTGGAACCTTGCATAGGCTTATGTTTAATTATTTTATTAACTTATGCCATTCGGCATATTTTGACCGAAGTTCTTTGTCCAGCTCAGGTAACCCAACTCCTAAGATGAAAATATCTCTTAAGAGTTCATCAACCTGCGATTTAAAATTACATAAAGAGCAAATGCTTTTTAATTTGATTGAAAAACTGACTCTTTAAAGTATAAAAATTATTGCAATGTAGAAAAATACTCGAAATTTTTTTATATTTTTTCTAAATTGTCAAGTAAAATTGGATAATTTATGTTATCAATTATTAGGAAAGTAAAAAATTTTAATTAAATTATCAGTGTCTATATTGGCTAATAAATCTTTTTTTTTATTTTGATCAACAATATTTTTTAATTTGAAAATGAGTTCTATATTATATAGGCAATCCTGAATATTAGCTTTTTCTTTTATGAATTCAGGAATATGAAATTGAGTAGGTTCTTCAATTTTCTTCAGAGGCATAGTATAATTTTAATCTTTTTATTTAAAATAATTCGTCGTCGTCTTGACTTGAGATGAATCGTCGCCAAATGAAATGAATTCAGATTAATAATATAAAGTGATTTATTTTATATAATAAAATATAAAATATATTTATATGTTTTTCTATTTTGTCTATTATTATAAATTGTAGCTTAAAGCAAATATAAAAATCAATTTATTTTAATACATTACAATTTTTTAAAATTGAACGGACGTAAAACATGAACACGTTTGTCAATAAAGTAACGCGTTTACATTAAAAAAGATAAGAGGAACGGAACGCCATTCATCATTTTTTCAAATAAAAAACTTCATTCACGAACAGGGTTGCCATGTCAAAATTTTCAAATTGCGGGAGAAATTTGGTATTTTGCGGGAGAAATATTAAAATTGCTATAGAAATATAAAAATTGCTAAAAAAAAATAAGGGATTGTGAATTTACTTAGTTATCCTCCTATTAATTCTTATAATTATTTTATATAAATATTGACAAAGTCGGTAAACTTCAAAATAAGTAATATTTTTCATAATAGGTAACACACTTGAAAATGATAAAATAGGAATGAATGGTGTCGATTTATTATTGGATAAAGATAAAACATATGATTAAGGATAGAAAGATATTTACAAACTAGACATGTTTTTTAAATAAATATTTAAAATTATTTTAAAAATATAAAAATAATCAATTATGGTTTCTCAAAATTATTATTTATATATTAAAAACGATAAAATCCTAAAAAAAATTGTGCGGGAGAAATTTAAAAATTTCGGTAGATTTCCAATTGCGGTAGTTTTGAGGGAGTGAGTAGTCTGCGTGTAAACTAAAAATTGTTGGAGTCTCCCGCTGATGGGGGGAGACCTGGCAACCCTGTTCACGAATGCGTTCATCATTTCCAACATCTTGGTAAAATTCAAAATTATGTTTTCAGATGAAATAATTAATATAAAATAGAACCAAACAATCAGGTTTCGCATAGAAAGTATTTTCAATCATCTGAAGTGATTCCAAACTTAAGAATCGTTTAGGAAAGCTAGTTTTTTAAGCAAATAAATTCAAATACCAATGTCTTAGAAATTGTCTGTGATTGTTAATCTATTATTATTAGATTTTTTAATTTAACACTAATTATTTATTTAATTTTAATGGATAATAGATTGCCCTACATTACATAATGAAAATATTTTTAAATGTTAAATTAAATATTTTTTACAATTAGCAATTATTTTATTAAGCTGTAAAGTATTGTTGATAAAAATAACATCGTTTTGTTTTAGAGGAAAAGGAACGTTATTCGTTACTTGTTTCAAAGGTAACGAGCAATGCATTTTTTTTGAGTAACGGTAACACAAAATCTCGTTATTTAAAATTTTTCTTAAAAAATATTTAAAAAATATATTTTATTTTAATATATTCTTTAAATTTTGTAAATTAAGCATAGTTTTTAATTCATATCAACAATCAAACCAAAGTTCTTCATTTTTATTTTATTTATTACATTTTTGTTGTTAAATTTTATACAGTCAAGATTGTTAATCATATTAATTTTAAATCAAACAAGGTTGTTAATTTATATACTCTAATATTATAATTTATTTGGTAAAGAATATATTATTTCTTCAGATGAAAATAATTTGACTCTACCCTTCCCCAGTATGAAACAATTTTTACAAAAAAATTTAAGGGCAGTAAATCTACACTTGTAAGTATAGATTATGTCCTTTCAAATATTTCAACCTCGATGCCCAGCAGCTCAAATCTAAAACATGAAAGTAAAAATATGAATTCAGATTAAATTATGATAGAAAAAAACAAATTGATGGAGATTCTTGTGAAGATGATCTTATAAGAATTTTTGAAAATATCAATCACTTTTTAAATATTTTTAACAAATTTCTTTAATTAAAATTTTATATATTAAATATAATGCAACCCTCCTGCGCAATTTAAACATAAATTTAGTTGTGTTCAGCACTAAGGATATGTCCTAGATCGGCATAATATTAAATAGCCGGCTTTTAAGTATCGGCTAAATAAATTAATATTTAAAGTAGAGATCTACGAGCCGGGCCTACTTTTTTAAAAAAGAAATCGGGTTTAGGCTGGATCGGGCCTAATATTTTTTAAAAAAAATTTAGATCGGGCCCGAATTTTTAATGTAAAATAAAAATACTTGATTTTATTTATAAAAACTAGACGCCATATAACATATATTTTTTATTTTGAATAATTATAAAAATTAATTTCTATAATTTAAAAAAATTTTGGGCCGGACCGGGCTTGAAATATTAGGCCCGATGCAGATCACTAAATTTAAGCATGCCACTCATTTAATTTTCTAAATAACGATTGTACTTATAAGCTTAAATTATATTTATATGAGCAAACATGCAAATATACCGAAGAGTAATAGCTAGTCTTTCTTGATTGCATATTGTATGTCTTACAGATTTATGTTGCATAAATGTTGCGATCATATAGAATATAATTAAAGATTGTAATATTCATCCTCATATATTTATAGAATTGTATGTCATTTAATAATTCACTAAATGAATTTTGAAACCATCCTTTATCATAGCGATTCAAATATATTCTATTTATTGAGATATTTCTTATGAATCAGCATAGACAGCTAGAGCGTAGATTTGCGGTAACTGTTCCATGAAAATTATTTACTCTTTTTAAATTATTACTAAATCATCAATGAGAGAGGAATAAGAGTGTTAGTAATTATAAACAAAAGTAAAATAATTTAAATATAAGCAGACGATAAAATTATAAATAGTAAAGAGACGATAATATTTATAAATATATAATTTTTTTAATATTTTGGTATATAGTGTTTTAAATATAACTCCAATAAATAGGGGTCCTCGTTCAAATGCTTTTTACCCTGTACTAAAAGCAATTAGATATCCAAATTATGCCAAAACCTAAGCGCTTTTATTTATTTGAACAAAATTTTGAAGATCAATTGTTAAAAATAAGTAAAAAAGATCTTATCATTGTATATTATTTTTATTATCTATGGAAAAAATAAATTTTAAAAAAGATTATATATATTGTTTATTATTTTTTAAGTAACGCGTTACTTTTTTGAATAGCGAGTAAAGCGTTTTTTTCTTCACATAACGAGTAACGATAAAGCGTTCCTTTCCCCAAAAGAAACGATTAACGCGTTTATTTTTTGAAATCAAATATAATGGTAAGCGGAAAATAATTCCCCCGAAAATAAATACTCGGAAAATAATCCCCAGGAAAATAATTACTAGGAAATAAAATACCCGGAAAATAATTCCCCGGAAAAAAATTCCCCAGAAAATAATATAATTCTACGGAAAAAAATCACCGGAATAAAATTCCCCTAGAAAATAATTCCCCGGAAAAAATTTCCCCACTATATATTGAATTGCTAATGCATTGCTAAACTGCTTTGCTAAATGGCAATCAATCATAAATAAATCAAAATTTTATTATGTATATTTTATTAATGATAATTTTTTAAACTTTTTTAAAATATACTTAAAACATTTTTTTATTATAAATGAAGAATATAATAAAAAATCATATAGTATATAATTTTATTTTTATTTAATATTATTAGTAAGAAATATATTTTTCTAGCTTATTAAAACAAAAGTACATTTTATTCAATTTTAAAAATTAACAAATATATATCCGTAAGAGGGCGTTATATGTTTTAATATGAATCATTTTAGGAAACCGGAATGATGATTGGATAGCACTTTTTTTATATTTGGGTATATATACATATGAAAAACCTAAAAATTAAAAAATTTTTTTAGGTTTCTTTGATGTTTAATTTATGAGTAGGTTTAGAATAGTAAAACAATGGAAATTTTCTAAAGTAAATATTGCTGGCATTATTTATCAAAATCTCTTCATTTTTGTTTTATACGTGTATATTTACGTGCTAAGCATTATCCTAAAAAATATTTTGAAAATAATTTGATTTGACTGATTGCCAAGCTCAAAACCGACCTCTTACTAAATATTCGATTGATCATTACTGGTAAGCGGAAAATAATTCCCCGGAAGAAAATCACCGAAAATAATTCCCCGGAAAAAAATCCTTGGAAAATAATTACCCGGAAAAAAAATTCCCGTAGAAATATATGAAAATTATGATAGAGGTAATTTAGAATTGGAAAGAAAAATGTGAAAGCAAATTTTTACTGAGAAAGAGAAAGGTTATTTCCTTTATCTACTTTTCATCTAGACTTGAATAGATATTAAACAGGTAATTAAACCACATTATATTTACCATGCAAAGGGGGTGGTTATTTCTAACACGCTACTGTTAAAATATATATAACATTAAAATAATATTATGACACTATTCTGTTCCGTATGTTAATATCAGTTTGAATCCCGGACAAAAATAACATAATGGAAATTTTTATGTTTAATTTTTAAAAATTGTATCTGATTATAAATTTTCAAAAAAAGTATTAATATTAATCACTGATTACAAAAGCTTATTTAATTCAAAGACTATCTCAAGTAGAACATTACAAAAAAATATACTATTTATTCTAAATAATATTTGTTTATTTTTATAAATATTATAATTTTTAATATATTTAATTCATTAAAGAAAAATGAGGGACTATAATCTTAAAATAGAAACTTTTTTATTTAAAAGTTTCCAACTCCGGAAATGTTATTACATAATCCCAGTTAGTTTCCTATATTATTATTTATAACGTTGAAAGGAAATTTATGCTCAAAAATAAATAAATTTATATATTTGGTGATATATTCTTTGTAATTTTGAAACAAACGATTTTCATTTAGTTTTTTTTATTACTTTTTATAAAATTTCTTTTACTATTTTAAATATTTTTGATAATTTTAATAAATTTTTTATGTTTATTCTTCCGTTAAATAAGCATGCTAAAATTTTTCATGAGGGATATTCCTACAATTATCATAAAACTACGAAAAATTTTAAAAGATATAAATGTACATTATATAATGATGAAAAATGCCCAGTTATTTTATAATAATAAAAATCAAAATTAATCAAGTATTTTTTTTTTATTTAATAAGTAATTATTACTATAGTACAATAGTATTTTCATATAATAATTATTTAATTCTGGAATAATCTAAGCCTTTGTCTTTCATTATATTAAGTATCTTGATCAAATTTAGTAAATAGTTTTATTAAATTAATTTAAAACACTGATTTTTAATGGCCAACATTAATTAATCTAATACATACAAGATTCATCAAAAAAAATAGTAAACTTTGTTGAAAAAAAGTGTTCAAGAACAAAATGTAATATATATTTCTTCCTTCCATCTACTTCCTTTTAATCCCTCTCCCCTTTTCTTCGTTATTTAAAAAATATTAAAAATACTTCATCACTAAAGATAAAATATAACGATAACTGAACTCAGAGAAACTAAATCCATTTCCTTAATTACCCATTTCCCTCATTATTTTCATATTTTACAAAAAAGAGTGAAATATTTAAAATTTTATTTATTTTTTAAATTTCTATATTGCATTAAGATGGATTTCTTGATGTTCGAAAGGTTCGAAGGCAAATTATGCCGACTGAAATTATTAGCTAATCCCGAGGAATATATTCCTGATCTTGAAGATTTAACAAGGGATACGGATGGAAGAAACTATTGGTTTGATCTGTTCCTTAAATCGCTTGATAGGGTAGATATAGACATATATATTAAACATATACTTGGGTGGTCCATTTAACCTACCCGGACCCACATGGCCCCTCAAAATTTTTATAGATGCCCAGTCCGGTCTTTTAAATATTTCCCCAAAAAAATATAGGTAAATCAACTATGAGCGTTAAATAATTTGCCTTCCCCTTCAAAAAAAATTGCGAAATATGGCTCATATTTATCTGTCCCCAAGCTATGTGTATCTAAGAAAAATTATATACATCAATAGTATGGCATAACATTTTTTTATTGGATAACTATTATTGTTTTAGAATAAAAACATATTGAAAATTAATTTTGGGATGGAAATGAAATTGATAAAAAATCGATCTCTATCCCTACTATAATAAGCAACTACTTAAAATTTATTTTATTAAATTATTTTACTAATAATGTAATAATATCTTATTATTATAATGAATATAATATTTATATTTTAAATATAGTGAATTGATCTTTATTAATATAAGAAGATGGAATAAAAGAAAATTAAGGAAATCTATTATTTTTTTTTAATATATCGTTACCAATAACATTATATAGTACGCTGATCAAGCGAAGGCAAGTCAGCCTGATGTCCCCGATGTTGAGAGCAGGGTTAAAAAATTCAGGGAACTCTATTGTGCTCGTCTCATCTACCTATCTCAAAATATCTAGTTTTTTTTTTTAAAATTTTATGAGTAAATGAAATCCATTTTCTGTTTTTATTTACAAAATTTTTTTAAAAATTATCATAACATTTTTAAGATCTATATAACTTTTGAGATAAAGAACGGAAGAAAGAAAGGAAAGAAATATCAGTTTACTAAATTTTCTTATTAAACTTAATATACCATTATCAATTTAGCATAATTTATAAGGAGAATTTATTTAAAAAAAGACTAATTAATGATGGAGGGGAATAGAGAAGGGGTTAATAAAGGAATAGCTGGCATTAGGGTGTTTATGCAGATAGATTTACTAGGAAAAAATTATTATTTTATTGAGACTATTTTATAATTGTATTATATAAATTTGTACTTAAAGAATGGGTTTGAAATATTCTTTTATAACATTCATTCACTCTTTTTTATCTTTAACCAAAAAATTTATTCTTTATATATTTTTTTGAATAATTTTTATTAGTGCATACGGGCATTTATCTGTTCGCATACTACTGGACACTTGTTTACAATGTCTATCTCAATGCGGCTTTAATGACCCATACTTAAAAGTTTATTATCATTTAATATGTAAAGAAAGAAATAAATACAAATTATGGCCTGAAGTATAAAATTTTGATGAATTATATATTTATATATAAATTTAGATATTAATAATATTCAAATTTTATAAAATAATTCAAGGAAAAGAGACTTGAAAATGAAGATGCCCTTAAATTGCTTCCATCTTATTATTCTCTATACATTCTTAAAGGTTCGGGTTCAGATTTCATTAATAATTCTTATTCAAATGATGTCGGAAATTTGAAAAGTACAAAAACTATCTTAAGTTTATTATTAATTAGTTTTTATATTAATTTCTAATCTGTGAAATTTTGAAAAAATCAAACTATTGGGATAAATAATTAGATATTAGGTTCTTACGGTGACATTGAAAACTGGTATTATGTTATTCAATCTTATTTTACTTTTGTTAATGGAAGCAGCCCTATTATAAAATTTTACATTAATCATTGTTGCCATACTTTAACTTAATTAGTTCTTAACTGATATTTTTATAACTCTATATAAATGTCATAAAGAAGTGTTGCGAGAGCCGTCTCAATAGTTTATTTAATATGTTTTTGCTTACCAGATTATATTTTTATCGCTTTAGTAAGACTTATGAATTGAAAAGTCAGAAATGATTAGTGTTTCTTTTTCGAAATTATTATTTGCATCACTATTAGTGCCATTCATTATTTTATTTTTATAATTATATTTCCATTATTTTTTATTGTGTTTGTTTTTCCATGTATAAAGCAATGGAATAATTGGATTTTAATTCATTATTTTTTTTCCTTAAATAAAAATCTAAAAGGATATATTTATGTATATTTATTTCTGGAAAAAAAGTTAAGAACTGATAACTATTGTTATGAAAAGTTGTAAGCCTCTTCTGCGAAAATCTACCCTTCTTGTGGCACAACGTAGTCAATCGCAAGAAGTTCTACTAACAATCATACCTTTTCCTCAGAAATAAATTAACATAAATGAATCCTTTTAGATTTTTCCAATTTTTATTTAAGAGGAAAAATAATGAATTAAAAATCCAATTTATCCATTGTTTTATAAATAAAAAAACAGAAAAAAATGCAAATACTACCATATAAATAAAAACATATCAATAAAATAATACAATGATTGGCACTAATAAAATAACGATATAATTATAATTTTGAAAAATAAAAATAATTAAAAGATTAAAATATAATGTATATGGTAAGCCATTGAATATAATATAGTATCTGCTCTCATGACAAGAAGGATTAATATTCTTCGAGCCATGGGCCAAAAAATGCAAAATTTTACGCCAATATTTATTTTTTTTACCAACAAGTTAAAAATTATAAATAATTAGAATTTATTTTCTTTGATTATTTCTATTTTTGAATATAAATCAGAGACCTGCAGGCCCGGCTTTAAGCCCGGCCCGTGTTAATTTTTTTAAAAATATACCTGGGCCAAGCCATATATTTTAAAATCAAATATTTTTAATCGCCATTATTAGCTATAAAATTAGAAATAAATAAAATATTTTAAAAAATCTGGGCCCGGTTGGGCATGAAAATGTAAAACCCGAGCTGGGCCTGGCCACGGGCCGTACAAATGGTTCAGATATATATGACTTGTCAAAGAAATTTTGATATTGTAAATCACTGAATAGATCAAGAAGATTTTACAGCATACAGAGCGCCAATTTTATTTTTTTATTAATAAAAGGACTCTGTATTATAAAATTGCATATATATTTATGCAAAATAGCATACCGTATATTTATTTTTTCCCCAAACATCCATATAAAAAAAACTTCGATAACAATTCGGTCAAAATTTTTAAGTGTAGCATTAAGATGTTAATTTAAAATATTTATAATTTTAAATTTATTTTCGTTACATGTATACCATTGATTTTTTTAATATAACACTATATTAGAAAATTACGACAGATTACCTCTTGAAAATGTTATTATATGTCCCGACAGTCAGCTGACTCTGATACGTGGCATCTTGGCTGGTAACATATTCGATTGGGGGTCACGTGACATCCTGCCCTTGCTAGAATCACGTGACCCTGAAACAGGCCAATCAACGCTTACCTTTTCTAGTGCGCTGAATAAAATACCACGTAAATATATTTTTTAATATTGTTTTTGCAACGTTAAAACATTCTCAAAAAATCACCTTTAAATTCAAGGGAGGATATAAAATTATGCACACTATATCTTTATGAATTCTCTACTATACTCATAATTTTCAAAATCATCCAAACTCAATATACTATGAAAAATATTCCGATTATTAATGCACTCATATGTTTATTTTAACTTTTTCTTTCCCAAAAATAACGGTAGTTACTACAGGTAATCTTAATTTTTTTCTTAACCTTCTTGTTTTTTATCTTACTGACTCCCCTTTGGACTCAATTTTTTTTAAAAATATTACTGGCCAGCTGGTGGGTATTTATTTTAATTAAAATTTTAAAACTAAATCCTATCATACCATCTTTTCTAAATATACTATATAGGTTAAATATGTTTTTTATGTTGATTTAAAAAAAAAAATTCAATTGGGTTTTATTTTAATAAGAGTGTAGAATTTTCTGATTTAAAGAAATTAAAAATATATTTTGTGAAAATCAAGACTGGAAAAAATTTTAGTTTTTTTTCTTTTGAATAAACAAGTTTTTTTTGTAATACATTTAATTTTAAAAATACTTAGTATAGGCAAAAAAGGAGGTCAATTCTGATATCGGTTTGATTTGAAGCTTTAAAAACCGGTTCGAACCTTTTCGCATACAAAATTTCTAGAATTCTATAAAAAGAACCATATTTTTTTAAATTTTATTATTTCCTAAAATATTTTAAAACTAATTCCCTTCTTCAAAATATATCGCCATTTCCAGACATAACGTTTTTTCCAAGCTGTTTCAGAGACATGCTTCCATCAATTTTTTAATATAATATTTATAAAAAAAACTTGATGATCTCAGACGCCTAATAAATAATTCCCCAAATAAAAAATTTAAAAATTTTAGAAAATCAATAAAATAAAAAAAATTTTCGGAAAATATATTCCTGAAAAGATTTTCCAAATAAAATTGTTAACTAAACTTAATTTTCTTTAAAATATTATCGAATAACTCTCTAAACCATATAATGTGTAACGTTATGGTCTTATCTCGAACTTATTTTTTGTGAAATTTAAGCAAAAAAAATATTTAAACTAATGCTTAACTATATCATACCTCTAACCTTAATTATTTCTATGATATTAAGCAAAATATTATCATGAGTTAACATTTCATTGTAATGGTCCGGCTCGGATTTTTCATTTTTACAGATTTTTAAGATCGATTTTTGGCCCTGACCATCAGGTCTCTGCTTTAAATAAATCTAGAATTTGTTTTTTAAATTCACTCGAGGTTTCAATAATTAAATAAATTTTTATTTGCTTTTATTAAACATTTTCCCCTTCAGATATTTATGGGAGAGAATTTATGGCTTATGTCAAAAATCTAGTATGTTATCAATGCTAAATTACAACAGTATCAAAGTTACCACCAGATTTATCGAGTCTCATTTTAGAATTAACCTATTTATTCGCACAAAATTAAAACTAAAATATTCCTTAAAATATTCAAAGCTCAGAAAAAATATTGAATGTCCACAACAAAATAGAGAAAAAAAGAAACTTAATTTCAAAAATCTAAAAAACTAGCTTACTTTCAAAAATCTAATTATAAAAGTAAAGTACTTTCAAAAATTATAGAAGTACTTCCAAAAATAATTACTTTCAAAAATACAAGGAAAACTTACCAAAACTCAAAATAATCCTTTATATCTTTATTAAAATATATTAAAAAAACTCCAGCAAAAATTAATAATCTATTATTCAAATAAAATTTTAACACAAATTGATAAAAATACTTTGAAAAAAATCACAGAAAAAATTAATTGTTTTCGAAATTTAATCATAAAAGTAAATAATTCAATTCATTTTTGAAAAAAACGAAGAATGGATTCATATACAAAAAAATGATTGACATTTTAATAATTTCTTATAAACAAAATAATATATTACGAACTAGGACAGTCCAGAATTATTTCTTAATGCTCAAAAACGGAATGCCGAGAAAACAGATATTCTGTTTAATAGATAAATCAGAAAAACACATAAAAGAATAAAATAATTATTTCTATTGATTTTAAGAAAATAGGTACTATTAGCAATTATCGCGATATTGCTTTCTCGCTTTTTCCTAGATATGACTCTGCATTATAAATTCGCAAAATAGTTTTCGCTAAATTATCTTTGCTATTTGGTTTTTCCTTCTCTATATTAGTGCGCACAAATTGAACGTTTCAACGCAGCGTTTCAAAACGCAAATAAAAAAATTAAACATAAATTGAACCGTTAATTTTTATTTTTTTAGTATGAAACGTCTAAATTTAAAACAAAAAAAAATGCTGCCCAATTTTAACGAATGCATTATTTGCGTTTTGAAACGCTGCATTAAAACGTTCAATTTGTCCGCACTATAAGATTTTCGCTATTATAAATTGGCGATAAAAGTTTTGCTAGAAAAAATTCTCGATATGGTCTTCGCTGAATAGCATGCGAATGTGGATTCACCATAATAGTTTATCTATAAAATCAAATCGCTTTAATAAACATTCGCGAAAATGTGCTTTATGATATAAGTTTTGCTGTCTTATTGGTTTGTTAAATTTAAAACTTAATTGAGTTTAAAAATTAGCAAAAATATTTTCAATATTAACTGTGTGATTTCAACTTGAGAGATTTTTTATGTACAGAAATTGCAAATTTAATTATATATAAAAGAACTTTAATAAAAAATATTTGGAATTTTTGGGTAAAATTTGATCTATCTATCTTCTGATTTTTGTTCAAAATATTTTCAAGATACAATGAAATTTTAACAATCAAGTTTAAATTATTTTTTAACCAAGAGCCCTTGAAATCATAGACTTATTTTCTTTAAAATAGAGTTTAAGAATAATAATTATGAATTGTCATATATTTCACCTTCACTGAAATCATATTATAACATATTTAAAATTTATTTTTACCAATTTGCTAAATTCTAAAAGATAATTGAAACTAAAATAGTATATCTTCAATGAGATAATATCTTAAGAAATATTTCAATTTTTTTATCGAAAAATGGGGGAATTTTTTCCAGGCAATTATTTTTCGCTTACCATAAAATCAAAATTTTGGAAATAAAAATTGACCTCAGAAACCTCTTTAAAAAACGCTCTGTATAAAAGAAAAAGAGAAAAATTTTTATTGTTGAGAACCAGGGACCCAAAACAATGTCTTTTTTGCGTTCCTGTTCCGTTCAGGCCGAAAAAGTTTGTTCTTTTTCATTCTTCTGAATTTTCAGTTCCAGAAAAAATATCAAATTTCATATCATATCTATTTTATTAATATATAAATATCGGAAACCTGCAGGTCCGGCCCGGGTACACTAGCCAGACCGTATTTTAATTATCTAAATATGGCCGGGCCAAAAAATTTCAAGAAATACCCGGGCCAGGCCGTGCTAATAGTACCCCAGCAGGGCTCTGATAAATTTTATTGATTGATCTTAATACAAATCAATTATTATATCTAAGCATCTATTAAAGACATTCTCTAAAGATTATCAGTTATATGAATGCTGCGCTGTTAATTTAAATTTAATTATCCACTTAAAATAAAATAATTATTGTAATTTAAAACTTTTATAATATATAGGATATTCATTTTATAATAAATTAAAAATTTTTTAAATTTAATTATAAATAAATGTATTTTATGCTAATTAATGAGCAATAACAATAATTGTTAAATATTGTTATATGATGCAAACTGGAATTTAAAAAAAAAATATTTATGAATGAGCCATTATAAATATTATAACTTTTCTTTACCGTTTTTCAGTTTACCCTCTGATCCTTTTTCTCCTCTTTACTAATTATATCCTTGTTTTCATTTCACCCTATCCCTTTCATCCACAGAACTGTTTCAAGAATAACCGTTCCCGTTTCATCCTTGTTCCATAATTTTCCTCAAATTTTGTTCCATGTCCCTGTTGTCACTTCTATACGTTATAGCTGGCACCTCAAATAGCAATATACTGAAATATCTAAAAATTGTTACTGACACTTATCAATCAAAATTGATTATTAATAATCAAAGGGTTAGGATATTAAACAGTCCTACCCAGTCTAGACACTTTTAGAGGTTCACTTTAGGTTTGGGTAACAAATTTTTTAGCGGTTCGGGTTCGATTTTGATCCCAGGTTTAAAATATTGGAAATCTTCGTTTTCTGAATTTTTTTCTAATCGAGTATTGAATCTAGGTTACAGTAGCAACTATGCTATCTCATTTCCATTAATTCTAAACCATGTCAATATTATTTCATATAATAACATTATATCCTATATGATATAATGAGAACTCGCTATACTGAACCAAATTTTCTAGCTCCATCGTGAGAAACTTATTAATTCAAATGCCTAGTATAGTTTTTAAATGATGACTTTTCATTTTTTTAAATCGTTCTCTTGTAAAATTACGAATCACCTCTTTATCATATGCAGAACATTTTGATAAGCATTTTTCCAGGATGATACCTGCCTTATGCATTTGAATAAAGAATAGGTGACTTCTGAATATTATTATTATAATCAGGGGTTCGAACCATAACGAATATCGGTTCGAGTTCAGATAAAAATACGGTTTATATTCGGTCATAAAATATAAATATCAATTCTTATTATCAGGGGCCCCTACAACGGGGGGGGGGGTCCGAAGCAACTGCTTCAGTAAATTTGAGTGGGGGTACTTAAAAAATTTTTTTATTTTAATTTTTTTAAAATTTAAAAAAATTTTTTTTTTACATCCATCATGATCATATGATTTCTGGTTTATAAATGTAATAATAAGACCCCCCCCCCACCACTTAATATTTATTAGTAAATTTTATTTATCTCTTAACCAAGCCTACTGGGGCAACAGGCAACAAGAAGGCAATATGATGGCAGATTCTGAACCTATACTAAAAATGTATATACAGCAAAATGAAGAAAGAAAAAAGGATAAAAAAAATAAGGGATTAAAAACGAAATTATATTCAAACCTATTATCATATAATAACTGTTATTATATGATAATAGGTTACATAAACATTCTCATTGAAACCATGAAAAATATGGTTATAAAAAAAATTCAAAATGAGATTACATTTAACAGGTGCTTTTCAATCATAGTTGATGGCACATACGATGTTTCGAAATCAGAAGCAATAGCTTTGATAGTAAGATATGTTGAAAATAGTGAGACGCCGAAGCCTGTTGAAAGACTGATTGACATATATTGTACGGGAAATACCACAGGTCTCGATATATAGCATAATATAATATCCAAACTTGGCTCGATGAATTTACCCCTTGAATATCTAGTTGGGCAAAATTATGATGGCGCCTCAAACATGAGTGGAAGAATCAATAGTATGCAAGCCTTGATTAGAGCAGAGGCGCATAAGGCATCTTTTATTTGGTGTTATTGTGATCGATTAAATTTAATCGTTGTTCAATTATGCCAATCAATTAAAGAACTTCGAAATGTTCTAGGAATACTAGATGAGATTTATGTCTATTTTAATGGTGTAAAAAGATATGAGGTGCTCAAAAAATTTCAGTGTAATGATCTGAAAAAATCGCAACGATTTCTACGCGTCAAGAATACCACTAGGTAATAGTACCTTATTTATTTAGATTTAAAATGTTTTTTTATTTAGAAGCTGGTTATCCTCATATAAAGCTATTGTAAATTTTTTTATGGTGCCTTGAGGGCAGAAGGATTCTAAAGATCCTGCCACTTCCACTATGGCTAGTGCACTATAGTCTTTAGAATAGAAAAATTTGATTTTATTTATCTTATCACTTTGTGTTTTGGATAAAATATTGTTGATAACAAGTTTAGCTTGTACAAAATTGCAAACCATTTCGAAGGATATAGGGTTTGCAATAAATCAATATCAATTGGCAAAAGATTGCTTGATTAATTTGAGAAGTATAATATAAATTATACTTTGTCTTAATTATTTTTTAATCTAATAGATAATAACACTGAATTTTTGGATATTTTTTCAAAGGCAAAAGATTTTATGAAGGAGAGAAATCTACCTTTTGATTTTGAAAGTTCTAAACTTCAAACATTACAATCCAAAAAGGAGAGGTATATATACTTTCATCATTAAATATAGAAATTTTTTTTAGCTTTAAAATAGGTGTGTTTTATGCTGCACTCGATAATTATTGCAGTTTAACGAAAGATTTAATGATAATTCGATGAAATTTTTACATCAAACATCATTTTTTACGCCAAATAATGTGGCAGAAAAATCAATTAATAAGGAAAATATCGAGGATATCTGTGAATTTTACAATTTAAATTCAAGTCAAATTTTCGAAGAAATGGAAGTTTAGAAATATTTATAAGATGGCCAAAATGGGGAATGTAATTATTACTCATGAGCTAGAGGTTCAAGAATCTAAAGATTTGTCAGATTCTGAGAATTGTAAATTTAAAATTAAAATATTTTTACCAATACATTATTTAGCTTCTTCTGATGATGATGATGATAATTCAGGGACTTACGATTCAGATTGGAAAAACTATACATTTATTTTACCTTATCGTTTACTTTTAAATTTTTCTGCTTTCCCTAATTTAAGAATTTTATATAAATATTTATTAACCATTCCCACAACCTCATGTACTGCCGAAAGAGTCATGAGTAAAATTAAATTAATTAAAACAAGACTGCGCAGTACCATGAAAGATTCTTTTCTTAATAATTTAACCATATTATCAATGAAAATTTTTTTATTTAAACAATTAAATACTGATGAAATTATGAATTCTTTCACTTTCTCTTCCCCTAATTTATCTAAATTATTAATTTAAAAATAATATTTATAAAGTTATATTTTTTGCATTTTATTTATATTATATATTAAAAATTGATGCAATAAAAATTATTTTTGAAATTTATGGGTGTCATAATTATCATTTTTTCGAAGGGGGGGGATACTTTTCATGGGGGTATTCTGCTTCATTCGCTCAAAAAGTGTAGGGGCCACTGCTTGTTATAACATTTAAAAATCGGTTCGAACCTTAAACTGATTAGAATTATGTATAGAGATATATGTATATTTTGTAAAATTATCGCTAAACCCATATAAGGCAACTAATGATATTTTATTATTGTAAATACAAATATGCTTTATTTATAAATTATAACAAATAAAAGGTTTTATTATCTATAATATAAATAAATTTTTTTCCAATAGTTGACAACATTTCAATATGCTAGCTGTCACCTAAATAACAATATATAAAATATCTAAAAATTGGGACTGATACTTATTAATCGTAATTGATTGCTAGTTATACTTTAAATCGCTTATATCTTCAAAGTGGTTCACCTACCTTTTAGAGGTTCGGGTGCGTATGGTAGTAATTTACTACATCAATAAACATAGCATTTTACTAATAAGGCTCAAGTTTTAAATTCAAAAACACCCATTTATGATCATTATTAACCATAACTCACTGTTCCCCTTCCAATCCTAAAACCTATTTGTGATTAATTTATAAAGAAAAACTTTTCCAAAATGGATTCGAACCTGTTTACAGTTTCTCAATCATTTAATCTCTGTGCCAGACATCCACTCCAAAACAACGCTTTTTTATATAAAGAGATAATTTACCACGTTATCTAAAATTTTTATTAAAAACCAATAAAGTTTGAGTTCAAATCATTAATTCGGTTTGAGTTCGGTATATAATAACGGCGAATACCGGTTTAACGCTTCGGTGTGGATCCCTGATTATATAACGTGACAAAGCATATATAAACCAAATAGAAGATAAAATTATTGCACATCTATTCTATTATATAAATACAAAATTAGCACGACCTTGGTTAATAGATGATTGCGAAGCATGGTTTCAAAACGTTAGTCATAAAAGTTACAAATGTGCCGCCATCTTTGTTGATAATAGTGGAGCCGACCTTATCCTGGGCATATTTTGCTTCACCGATAGATTATTAGCTCTAGGAACTAAAGTAAAACTATATTGTTTTAATTCTAGCCTGAATCAGGTCTTAGTTTTGATCAAGAAAGTAAAGTCAATTAGATACTTTCATTTAATTTTAGTTTTACTGACTTTACGATTTTTTCAATTTTCTGGCCATTTTATTTATAGTTTTTTTTTTATTTCTGGAATTTAGTGGGTATTTTTTTTCCTGTGATATTTTTCTGGAGATTTATTTCCGGGATATTTTTCCCGCTTACCAGAATTTGAAACAAACTTCAAACGAATTTGTATTTTAGCCGATTTATTGTATTTGTTGTTTATATACTTGTCACATTTTTACTACTTCTTAAATTAAATCCATTTATATGTTATTTTTAAAAATAGGTAATACTCTGCGCTAATTCGAAACCAGCTTTCAACGATGTTACATATCCCGAACTCATAGTTTTGGCCAATAGAGTTGGTGAGCATTTGCCTGTCGTGCGTTCTTCCCTTCAAAATGGTTTTCTCATCATTATGGAGACGGGTAGTGGGTCACCTTGCATTGATTTTATGTAAAACTTGCTATTTAAAAAGATTTAAATTCTTTTAAAATAAAATCTGATTTCTTATCACTAAATGTATATTTTCTAATAACAAATTTATAATTTTTTTTACTTTCTCATTTAAGGCGAATTAACGACGAATTGAACCGCATCTTCGAAATTGAAGGAGTAGATCTTCTGGTGCTTGAAGGGATGGGCCGTTGCGTTCACACCAACCTTAACGCCCTTTTTAAGTGTGACACTCTTAAGATCGCAGTCCTAAAGGACGATTGGTTCGCTAAAAGATTGGGAGGCCGTATATTTTCTCCTATCTTCAAATTCACGCCCGCCTCTCGATTATAATTTCAATCATTTTAATTTCCAATTTGATGTGCATTTTAATCATTCATCTTGAACAATCTTTGTGAATGTATTACTCACTAATTTTCATATTTTTATTGCCGAATTTAGTCTTTCATTGTTGATAATATTTATCAGTCAATCAAACTATAAATCCTTTTTTAAATTCCCAACTTATATGTCATTAAAAAAAGGTTAACCTCAATTGATAATGGTTTTTAAAAACCCAGGGCGATATAATTCTTAGCAACCTACATTGACAAAAAGTTATTAAATTAATATAACGTTGTGTTACCATTTTAGACCATGTTTTATAGAATTGACCAACAAGGATAAATTTGTAGGCCTAACCAAATCAATATTTCTTGAAGAGGATAATATAAACGACTAATCCAAATCATAAGACTATATGGTGGTTAGACCTAGATGACATTATAAAGCTAGATAAGTAATCGAGAAAATTATTGTGATATATTAAATTTCTAAAAGATTATCTTTCATTTTTAATGATATATAAAAGACACAGTTGACCATTATTGCTCATCTAAATTATGCAATCAAATGCTCTCATCAGCAGGAGTAATAATATTAAATTACATAGCCACACAAATAATAGATGCTGGTTAATTTGCAGTCATAGCCATAACAATCACTATGTAAACTCTTATCAGAATTTATTATGTTATATAAATTGGTAAAACAAGAAGACTAAAAATCTTTAGAAGAAATAATTATACAAATATATTGAAGCCTTGAGTTATTTACACGGCAAGGCCATATTAGAAATAAAACATTTTGTAATGTAACTATAAAATAAGGACCAGAGTGATATGATAAAAGCAGTGCCCCCTACAATGTTGGGGGGGGGTCCGAAGCAACTGCTTCTAAAAATTTGTATGGGGTACTTTTTTTAAAAAAAAAATTTTTTTTAATAAATTTTTAAATTAAATTCTTTTATTGATTTGCTACATCCATCTAAAACCAAGTGATCTCTAGTTTATGAATGTAATAATATGACCCCACCCCCTTATTATTTAAATATATATTGACGGAAATTTTGGTTGATGTTTAGTAAATAGATTGTTATCCGAGTTTCTTGTCATAAAATTATTTTTCCAATTTCAAAATATGCCCAAAAATATTAACGAAAAAAAATACATGCTTAATTAAAAAATTGCACATCGCATAATATAAGAGATGATAAATATTTAGAATTAGGAGCTCTCCAACCTAAATGTTATTTACTAAAGATATTATTAATAGAAACAGATCCTTTAATGAAAGTTTTTATGAGAAAACTAATATTGACAATAGCAAAATTGCTAGAAATTTGATTATATATAGTAAAAATGAATAAAGTTTTTGATTAACATGTCTCTTATTTGGAGGTCCACGCCAATTAATGGACATGTGAAGGTCTAAATAAATGGCAAAATATTAATCGTGATATTATTGTGCATGAATCTTCACAGTCACATATGATGGCCGATTATGGAAGACTTTCTCACGATAAAAATTTCATATTACAATTTATAATACCCCAGAAAGAATGTGTGGACAATAACCGTTCTATCGTCAGAATAATAGATATCTAGGTTTTTTAATATCTTGTAACCAAGACTTCTGGGGGAACAGGCAACAAGAAGGCAATATGATGTAGAGATCTGCAAAGTTAGGCCCGGTCCGAGTCCGTCGGGACTAATTCTATTTAAAGTAATAGGGTTCGGGCCGGGCCTAATTTTTTTAAAAAATTTCGGGTCGGATCGGACCTTGGAAATTTTATTAAATATATCTAAATTTATCAATTTTATATTGAATTTTTTATGTAAAATATAAATTTTTGATTTAATTTAATGTAACTAAACGCTATATAACATATGTCTTTTATTTTAAGTAATTATAAAAATTAATTTCTATATTTAAATATTCGGGCCAGGCCGGGCCGGTAAATTTTTAAAAAATAAATTCCGGGCCGGGCTTGAAAAATTAGGCCCGATGCAGATCACTAATATGATGGGCCTTATTAAACTCATTGCAGATTCTGAACCTGTTCTCAAAATGTATTTACAACAAAATGAAGAAAGAAGAAGGAAGAAAAAAATAAGGGATTAAAATCGAAATTATATTCAAATCTATTATCAAATAATAACATAAATATTCTCATTGAAACCATGAAAAATATGATTATAAAAAAAATTTAAAAGGAGATTAAATTTAACAGGTGCTTTTCAATTATAATTGATGGCACATATGATGTTTCGAAATCAGAAGCAGTAGCTTTGTAAGTACGATATGTTGAAAATAGTCACGTGCCTAAGCCCGTTGAAAGACTGCTAGACATATTGTAGCAGAAATACAACTGGTCTCGATATTAAAAAGAATATAATATCCAAACTTGGCTCCATGTATCTATTCCTCGAATTCCTAGTTGGGCAAAGCTAGTTAAAAATATTACGCAGGAAGAGAGATTGTTTTAAACAGTTTATTTTGTAAAATATAATCGATAATATGCCTAATAAAATATTCGTTTTTACTGCAGCTGTTATATCGAGCTAATAAGTCATTCGCTATAGTAGTAAGTAAAGATCTAAAAAATGTAAAACATTTTAAGAATGGTGGGGGAGGGGGCAGAACTGGAAAATTTTATCCCATTACTTATAAACGTATTTTCATTTTCCTTAAGAATAATATTTTACAACCATTAGCGCCATCTGCTTCTTTCTTCAATTTTTGATAAAAATGTATATTTCGGAAAAGTCGATAGCGTCGTCAAGGTTTTGACATCGTATATATATTTATAAAAGGTGTCTATAAAAACAAAAAAAATTTCGAAAACTCTTTTTTGCCTAAAAATACAGGTGAAGCAAGATAGGTTAACCGGATATTAAAGGCTAAAATTGGCTCCAATTATTAATTTATGAGATCTTTTTACCTACAAAATGATATATATACATTTTTTTACTAAAAATAGTTTTTGAGATATAAGTATTTTAAAAATTTTACAGATTCCATAGTGGCTCTTTTTTGCACTTTTGAATCCCTATATCTCGGGAACCAGATGTGCTAGCTAGTTAAAATAAACGGATTTCTCATTTATATACACATCTAATTCCAGAAATTTTTAACAATTTTAAAAGGGGTCGGCCGAAAATGTGCCTCTTTTGATCGATTTGACATGGAATGGCCCATGTGCAATTATTAAATAAGCATTTGTATTATTTTGGTTAATATTTTTAGGCATATTTTGAAATTGGTAAAATAATTTTATGACAAGAAATCAACCTAATTTGCTAAACATCGACCAAAATTTATTAAAATGTAATAAGACCCCATATTTATTATTTAATTTAATATGTATACGGAATCACGAGGTCGAGTCCTATATCTTAAACCAGAAATCACTTGGTTATGGATGTAAAACAATAAAAGAATTAAATAAAAAAATTTTTTAAAGTACCCGCATTCAAATTTTTAGAAACTGTTGCTTCGGACCCTCACCGTTGTAGGGGCCACTGATCCCCGGGTAGGGTTCACTCGTTCCCAAAATAAATTCCAGAAAAAATAACATTTTGAAAAAAGTATTAGATATATATTTTTGAAATTTAAAACTTTTATAAAACTAATCCATTTTTTCTAGTATTTAATGATTTAAAGCATAAAAGTAATACATATTAAATATCTCTAAAAAATAAAATTTTATGGTGCCAGCCAGGCGGCAAAAAATAAAATTTAATTGTTTTTTAAAGAAAGATTCCGAATCCCCTTAAATATTTTTTTTAAAAAAATTTATTTTTGTTATAAATATCTGAACAATAACCGTAACCGAATATAATTATTTTTTGAAGGAGTAAAAAAAACCTTTATAAAAACGGTTAAACCGGTTCAGTTTTTATATTTTAGAAATTGAAATAATTTGAATATCCAGAATTATATAAACGTGCTCTTATAATAATGGCGGTTCCTACAACACAAGTTTCTGTAGAAAGGGCTTTTTAGGGGCTAAAATTTGTGTTATCGTCACAACGAACAAAAAGGAATCCATTTATACTTGAAAATATATTACTTATAAGTTCTAATAATTTTTTAAAAATGAGTTATTTTGTATATATTTTTTTTATATATATAATTCATAGATGCTTATAATATAAATAAATTAGAAGATTGTGTTGCTTCAATAAAAAAAAAATTCTAACCGTAATGAACTAAATCTTTATAATTAGCTACCGAACTGAACCTCTATAAATTTCTTCTCAAGAACCGTAACCATTATAATTTTTTACAAACTGAACCGTAACCAAACTGAACCGTGTTCGAGTCCTTGCTTAAATGTTCAACGAAAATTGTTGCAATAATTCGGATTTTTTATAAATATATTTATTCATATTTTTTCAAAAAAGTCTTAATCTGATCCTTTTTCATTCATTATATGCCTTAATGTTATACTATTTACTTTTTTTTAAATTCCCTTTTTAAATCCCTTATTTTGGTCTTTTAATTATATGGTGCCATCCGTAAAAAAAGAGAAGAAAAAGTAATTATATTATTTTTATTTTTTTTCAAAGGGATTCGGAATATTTTCTAAATATGTTTTAAAAAAATATTTTAAAAAAAAGATCCCGAATAAAACGTGGGTTTGGGATTCCTAATCCCACATGATTCCATATCCCAACATATACACTAACTAGTAAAAATATAAAATTTTAATTCTCAACTCAGCTTACTTCATGAGATATGGCCATCTTTAGAAACGCGGAAATTCCAAAATACACTTTATTTAATTTTAAATATCTCAAAAAGTAATTAAACTAAAGACATGATTAAAATTTTATTAGATAGCTCTAGAATAGCTTTTTAATATGACATAAAATATATTTTATTGAAACCAAAAACCGGAAATGGACATAAAATAAAAATTGCTCTTTTTTTAATTTAAATTTTTTTACAGACATTATACTTCTTAATATTTGTACAAAATCCTAGATTGGGACGAGTACTGGGTCAATAGTTATTACACTTTATATATAAATAATATAGCTTAAATCCTATATTATACCAAATATAGAGTAATTATTTTTTAAAAAAGTGGGCAATATATGTGAATTATAGCATTAAAACTAAAATCCTAAAAAATCTTATTATTATGCATTTTTTAAATGTTAAA